GAAGGAAGGAAGGAAGGAAGGAAGGAAGGAAGGAAGGAAGGAAGGAAGGAAGGAAGGAAGGAAGGAAGGAAGGAAGGAAGGAAGGAAGGAAGGAAATATTGTTAAAATCCTGCACAACAGTCTGGAAACATAATGGAAAACTCAGTGCTGAACAACCTACTAACTTTCAGCAGCGAGAAGGACCTATTGAACAGCATCATTATTATATTCAAAAGAACTAATGTGACTCCTATAAAATTAAGCACTCCCAAGAGCCTCTGTGGTGTCTAAGGACCTGCTTTCCTAGCTGCTACCTCTGCTTCTGGGAATTGCATCAGATGTTTTGTGAGAAGAGAAAGTTTGTCATGGAATTTTTTTTTATATAAACAAGTTGCAAGTAACTAGGGATGATTGCACACTGTTATGATAACAGTTACCACTATCTACCACACAGCAGAAAAGAAGTTGTAAAGTTGGTTAGAAATATAGTTTTGGTTTCCTCAAGTGGCAACTAAGAACTACAGAACGATTTGTGACTAAATGCTTTGGATCTTGCCACCTGCTTTCAGAAACTCACTGAAGGAGAGACTCATCAATATTGCAAACAACAGGTCCTGTCATTATCATTTTGGACGGAGCTTTATTGTGGTCAAGCACTCACTTGCATCCACTGCATGTTCCTACTGATGCTTTTTGTTATGGACTATCCCCCAGAAAGGGCCTCAGATCTCCCAGTTGAAGAGTCCAGCCACATTTTTACGTATATGTGAAAAGAAAAGAAAAGAAAAGAAAAGAAAAGAAAAGAAAAGAAAAGAAAAGAAAAGAAAAGAAAAGAAAAGAAAAGAAAAGAAAAGAAGCCTCTCATTCTCAAACATTTGGTCTCTGAAATATTGTTCTTTCACTAGTTTCCATGATTGAACTGTATCTAAAAATAAAATATCAGTGGTGCATGCTTTGATTTCCAGAGCAACATTTCCTCCCGCGAGAGCCGCCTGCACTGCAGCCAGCACCCTGCAGGTGGCACTTGCAGCCCCTTTCCTCGCTCCTCCAGGTGCACCTGGGCAAGGGCTGACAACACGGATATTTAAGGCTCCTGAGAGGCCTTCCTTTGCATTGGGTGAGTGGTTTAAAGGGTTGGTTAGGAGCTTGGTGGTGGATAAGTTGAGTGGGAAGACTAAGGAGACTCCTCTTATAATCCAAAGATGCCTAAGTTCATAGTTAACACAAACATAAGCAAGGATAAAGTTCCAGACTCTTTTGTAGGAGAGCTCACACAACAGCTATCAAAAGTACTGGGCAAGCCAGCACAGGTAAGTGTGGATGCTTGAATGTCTTCCCATTAATAGGCAGCTGGCTTGATGCTGTGACCTTCTCTCTGTGATATCCTAGCTAAGCTAAGGTGCCTAATGACTCCCTAGCACTAAGATTCTCCTCTTTGTACTAACATGTTGGGTACTTGCTTTTTGTTACTGAGTTGGGCTGGGATCTTGAATCATATAGTCTTTGCAATAGCTTGGTAGGTGATCCTATCTTATGCAGGTTTGTGTCAAGATGCTAGTTATAGGAATCCAGCTGTCTGAAAAACACTCCTGGCTCTGCGGCTTGCTTGTGTGCTGAATACACTGTTATCTCCCACTGTGCTATCTGCAGCCTAGTAGTTACAACTGAAGAGCTTGCCTCAGATCTAGCAAAAATACCTTTGTGCAAAGTCCTATTGCTCATGGTCAAAATGCCAAAGTAGAAAACACCTCCTGGTTGCATTATCAGCCTGCAGGGTTTTTTTTTTTAACCTGCTCAAACCTATGACTTTGTTCCTCTAAGGTAAAGGGCTGAAATGTTGCTCTGAAATGACTCTCCTTCCCAAGGCTCTTGCAAGGATTCTGTTAATTACTCCAGAAAGGCCCTAGGAGTTGTATCAGTTGCTTACTGATAGCTGTTGATGAGCAGTTTTTATCCTATTTTTTTAAGTTCTACAGAGCTAGAAGCTCAGTAAAGTTCTTTCTCAGTTACGATAGCAGCAATAACTTAGGTGAACAGGAGGCCTCAGCAGAAGCACCCTGACCATCCCTGGGCCTTTTGCCTTACAGAAGAGGTGGGCAGACTAGAAATGCACCCAAGGAGCAAAACACTAGAGAAACTTATGTAACATGCCAGGCACAAATGTCTTTTTTAGTCTAGAAAATGGAAGACTGAGAAGAGATTCTGAAGAAGGATTTTTTTTTCCCCCCTTTATCTCCAGAGTGAGATGCAGTCAGGTTATTTTAAAGCAGTAGTTGGGGCCTTGGAAGGAAGCTTGAAGAACTTCAGTCACCAGTAGAGTTCTGCATTACAGACTTGTAACTCTTCACTCTCATGTTAAGCTATAAATTAAACCATAACAGCCGTTAAGCTCAGTGAAATGCTGTGGTGTTCCTTAGGGCTAAGCAGAGCACCGCTAGCTCCTTGTCTGATGTAAGCAGTTAGTGAAATGCTGACAAGGAAAGTCTTGCCCAAAAACTGAGATGCAGGAAAACAGTCTTAGACTGAAAGTATCAAGAATTTCAAGTATCAACAAGGAGCGCAGAAAAGAGTCATGGCCAGAGGTAGGATGGTTAATAGCACTGGCACTTCTCTGGCTAATAAAAATTGCTTAGCACTCTAATTATATCTTTGTTGTGCAGCTGAGAGTCAAACATCTCCCCATGGCTGGATGTTCTCACCAAGCTGACTTGTTCACGCTGCTGTTGGCTTTTTAGCTGTGCATCAATAGACCACAGGAGTCCTGGTTTTCACTATGTCTCTTCCAGGCTGATTCTTTGCCTCATGAAGAGCCTCTCTTTCTCTGGGGCAGTAATAGAACTCTGATCATCCCCAGACACTGTATGTGTAGGAAACAGTATCCCTACCAAGCTTGTTTGGAGTTGCTTGACTTTGAGTATTCAAAAATGTTTTAGGTTGCATAAGCCCTATTCTTCCAGAAATTGGTCTGAACTATAAATGAAAGGTTTTTAAAGTTTTTTTCTGTACATAGAGAAATATTAAAATCCTTAGGTGAAACAGTGGTATGTCTCATCCTCCTTCTAAAAGCAAAGGTTTTTCCAATCTGGCCAATGAGTATTTTCTGTCTGAGAGGGGAGAGGGAGGGTTTGTCAGCTGATGATTCTTGCCTAACAGCCCCTCAATGGGAGCTAGAGGCCAGGCTGCGCTGCAGCTGGAACACGTTTGTGCAGCAGCGTGGAAGGGATTTGGAATGGGGCTTGGAGCTCTCCAGGGAACAACAAAGGGATTTTTTGGAGAGGATATGCAAGCCCTTCGTGACAAAGGAGGCAATGGGAGAACCTTAGTTATAACACAAAGAGGGAAAGGACTAGAGTGGGCTGGAATGCAGAGCTTTCCTTTCACAGGAAAAGGTATCATTTGGAAAAATTCTCCTTTTTTTTTTTTTTTTTTCATCTAATAGCTTTTAGTCCTTGGGAGACTTTTTCAAAAAGCTTTCAAATTGCTCTCAGGAAATGAGTGCTGATCAATGCTTCAGCTTAATAGTGTTTTTTTATAATAACCTACTTCTGAAACAGGTGTTTAAAGACCTACGTTTGTGCCTAAACCTGATATAGCTGCATTTGGCCTAAAACTAGCTGAGAAAACAGAGTGTCCAGACAGAGGACAGGGCTGAGCAAGTGGTAATTCAGCAGGATCTTCACACATCCTGTGCTGCTGTGTCAGACACAGCCTGCACCCAAACAAGCTGTAAATGATGGGCAAGGTTGATTACTCTGCCAACTCCCGCTGCTCGGGCTGGCTTGTCCCAGCAGGAGGGTTAACTGCTGCCCAGTTCTAGCGATGCGCTGCTAATAAACGTGGGTAAGAACAGAAGAGAAGCCAGATGAACGCCAAGGGAACTGATCCCCGTACTCCCCTGTGTGCGGATCTGACACTATGTATTAGTAGCAGGGAAAACTGCAGGCTGTTCACGAATATTAACATAGATACATTCTCCTACTTGCCCTGGCATCGAGGACAAAAGCGAGATTACGTTGTATTTTGTTTAACGAGCGGGATGTTGATCTAGACCTCGTCGGTGTCAGCTTGTATTTGCTTCGGCAGGGAAGATTGCAGCCGGAGCCGGCGGGGCACAAAATCTCCGCGGGAAGCAGGGGGACTGCGCGGCTGCCAACGGCTGCTGCTGCCGCTCGCCCTGCCCGTGGAGCCTCGGCCTTGGGGAAGCTTCTCGGGGTGCTGCAGATCAGCAAGCCCTGCGAGCACCCGAGCTCCCTATCCAAGGCTTGTATTCAGTAAAGGATACTGCAGGGATCTCCTCTGAGCTGTGTTCCTGGCAGCCCCCCAACTTTTATTAACTGCAACCCACTGGCTTATGCACTGATCCACAGTGCTCAATCTCTGCTGGTAGACTGGTGATATTTGGCAAGCAATTTGGCGTTTCCCCCTTGCAGCAGATCTCTCTGCCTCCTGCCCTATTTTGGAGTGGTTGAGCAGGGTCTGCTTGGAGAGCTCAAGCCTGTGCATGAGACTTGTCCTAGGTTTAATGTGTGTTTAGGGTACAAAAGAAGATATCTGCTGCCCACCAGCCCCGGAGATCCCCTCGAGCCTAGAGGGGCAGCCCAGCACACAAGGTGCAGGAGTTCACTCACAACTGTCCTCGCTTGGCCAGAACTACCAACTACTTGGCCTCCCAAGCCTATATGGCAGGTTGCCTTTATACCAGCCCTTAACAGCCAGGAATTTCCCACTGGGTGCACTGTAAATCTAGACAGTTTCATGTCAATACATGAAAGCACTGGACACTGCAAGGCATGGAGGAAAACTAAAGGAGATGGCAGCAGTCAGGGAAGGATCTGCTGCAGGGCTGCTGAATTAGAACAAGTGTGAAACAAACCATTCACTAGCATCTTAGTGCTAAAAAGCAGCCCTAAGTGAATGGGACTTGAGGAGAAGAGCCATTCAGCAACAGAAGGGGCTGTGATTGCACTGCCCATCTCCAAACAGAATATCGTGGAAATGTCTGTGGTAGTGTGTGACACCTTCCCATCTTGGTGATTTGCAGGAAAATGTTCAGGAGGTCTGGGAATGCATACACATACAGGAAAGTCTTTAAAGCATAAATGAGCAGTATATACCTATCTTTACTGCAGTTCTGGGACTTTGAAAAACTTTTTTTCTGTATGACTACTGAAGATAAATTTCTTTTTCTTTTCCAACAGTATTTAGCAATACAGATCTCGCCTGATCAGGTGATGTCATTTGGAGGCTCCACAGAGCCCTGTGCTATGTGCTTTCTCTACAGCATTGGCAAGATAGGAGACCAAGAGAACAAGGTCTATTCCAAGCTGCTGTGTGAGCTGATGAACAAACAGCTGAAAATACCAGCGGACAGGTAAACTCAGGCAGCAGTTTCTCACATGGCTTTCAAAAGATGCTGAGGCTACTAATGCTAATACAAGCATTAAAGGTGGAGAGGAGAATAAAACGCTGATATCCAGTTACCAGAATATGAAAAAGGAAACCTGTGACTTGTTGACACGGTGCAGCATGGGGAAGCATAAGGATCTGGGCAAGAACCTACAGCGAAAGCGCAGCAGGAACGTGGCGAGGCTGCAGTGCTCTGGTCTCAGCAATAATGATGTCCATCTTCCCTTTCAGAATCTATGTCAGCTTCTTTGAGATCAGTGCGGGCAACGTTGGCTGGAACGGCACCACGTTTGCTTGAGGTGCCCTCAACTGCTAACGGATTATGTCTGAACCTTCACCATGGTTTCTGAACACTGAGGTTCTTGTGGTATTATCTGTTTGGTACAAATGTAAGAGCTGTTGGTGCTTCCGTGGCTGTTATCCACTACTGCTTTCATGTCAAGTCTGCTGTCTAAATAAAAGCAAAAATCCAGCAGGAGCCTTATGGTTTGGACACTGCCTCTTTTTGTGGAGGGCTGTGGCTGGGATGGGAAGGTGCTTTCTCAAAATATTAACAGTTCTTTTTATAGTTTGTTTATTGTGTGGAGACTGATACTTGATTTTTGGTCAAATTTAAGCAGAACTATCTTGACCTAACTTCAGAGTGCATTTTAAATCTAACTCCGTGGATATGATTGCCGGATATGGTATATGGGGACTTCCTTGAAAAGAGCAAAGATGGGATTGTCCTTTAAAAGGATTGCAGGGCAGATTCTCCCTACAACTAACACCAGAGTATCCCTGGACATGCAGCTGCCTCGCACGAAAAAAAAAAAAAAAAGTCCTGGCAGCCTTTCAGTAGAAGGACAGAGGCAGAGTAAGTGGAAAAACCCACTGCTCTGCCCTCCTGTTTTGATTCACCAAACAACTTGCAGTGACAATGAATATTAGAGCACAGCTCAAAAGGTCAGTTAGCCCTTTTAAGAGGTTACAGGGATGAGTTACCTATGAAAGAGAGATTTCCATATAAACATGTACTATTACAGCCTTGGGTCATATAAGACAATTTGTTTCTTAAGTTGTGTTTTTTTTTCTTTTTTTTTTTTTTAAAAAAAACTTAAATACAGATATTTCCTGCATCCCTAAAAATCAGGTAATCCAACCTGGTACCCTAATCCAACCTTGTCCTTATTCTGAGCTCTACTGTGATTGCAACAGAATAGAAACATCTACAGCTTTGGTTTGCAGCCAGTTTAAATACCAAGCCTGCATCTCAACCTGCAAAAGCATTTGTTGGGATAACAGCTGAAAGCTGTTTTAGCAATTCCAAGCAGCATGAAGGAATGCTAATTAGGTTATAAATACAGTGATTATTATTTTAAATAAGATTTAATCAATCTTATTAAATGTTGTTTATTCTCATGGGAAGACTTGCAGGGTTGTGTCCATTGAGGAAGGAAGGTATAACATTTTGTAGATATTCCTTTGGCAGAATCACCCACAAAGAAGGGCTACACCTGCCCTAAACGCAGCAGGATGTTGCCAGAGGAAGGTGTTTCCCTGGCACAGAAAGCAGCCTATTTTCTTAACAGAGCCATCACTCCAAGATACTTACTTGTGTTTCCTTTTGGACCCACATTACTGGAATTTCCTTGAGATTCTCCTGGCTCTTCTTTCCCTATCCAATCACCCTCTGCTCTGCTTTGGACTGGATTACACTCAGGTAGGAAAAGCTGCAGCCATTTAATGCCCTGGCCCTGCCACTTGCACTCAGTTTCTGGAAAGTCTTCAGCCTACCCTGGACTTCTCAAGCCCTTCTGTGATGGATACAACACCTTCAGAATTATTCTCAGGGCATCCAAACCTTGAAATGTGTGTATTGCTAAGATACCCTAGGGACCGTGTGCAATCAAGACATCCTATTAATCCTAGCAGTCCTGCATTACACTTGCTAACAGGATATGTAGAAGTTCCATCTGCCTTTGACTCCCACACATCATTAGAGTGCAGTTCGTGAGGCATTTCTGCAAAACATCCAACCTTTTAGCTACTTGATTTTTTTTTTTTTTCTGTAGCAATCAGTGATGCTCTAAACAGATGCTGTCCAACCAGAAAACATTATGAACGGGGCATGTGAGCGTGTAACACACCAGTGGCCCTGCTGCAGTGCAGCCTTTTCCCTGTGCTTTGTGAATTCCCAAACACCTCTGTGTAACAGGTAGGAGGCAGAAAGGCCAAAGGTGGGAGGAAGAAGTGACATTATGTAGCAGCTGAGGGCATCAGAGGAAGGAAACATTTTCAGTTAGCAAAGCTGCTAATCACCACTAAGTGCCCCATTCCTGTCAGTTCTGCCTGTCCTGGCAGTGCCAATCAGAACCACGGCCCTATGCTGCCATGCTCTCCTTTTTTTAAAGAGCATGTGGTTGCAAGCTTTCCAGCAGCAGCACAACATTGAGTCTTTGCTAAAAATTACCAGGTGCTTGATTCACGTGTCTGAAACCGTCCCTGGGCCTGGTTTACTTTTGCCTTCCTGTGAGTGATTGCAGGCCGCGCAGCGCAGGGCGCTGCCGCTGCCCCCACGGCAGTGCCTGCCCTCCGCAGCCTACGTGCGCTCGCGCACACAGCCCTGCGCAAGGCTCCGCTCCGCAGCCGCCCTGCACCTCTGCACACACTCGCACCCTTTCATCTCGATGTGAAAGAAAAGAGAGGAAATCCAGCGGTGTCTTTTTCTACTTATATATATGTACATAATAAAGTGTGATATGAGAACCAACGTGCTGCAGAGGAATAGATTATTTCCAAATTCACTGAAAAGCACCCGGGAATCATTAAAGAGCCAGTAAATCGGGCATATTTCCACTAATGCAGGAAAACCACGCACAGCGCTAAAACAAAACGCGCGAAAGCAAATGCGCCCTTATTCTGCCAAAGGACAACACCCGGAGAGGTTCGCGGGCAGGGTCTGCGGGCAGGGTCTGCGCGCCGTCCTGGCCCTGCGCCTGCCCCCGCCCGGGGCGCGGCGCCTTTAAGGCCGGCCCCGCGCGCTGAAAGGCGCCGCCGCCGCCGCCCCGCTCCATTGCGCCGCCGCCGCCGTCCTCCCCGCCGCTGCCGCCGCCGCTCCCGCCGCCACCATGCCTATGTTCGCCATCTACACCAACGTGTGCAGGGACGCCGTGCCCGAGAGCCTGCTGGGCGAGCTCACCCAGCAGCTGGCCAAGGCCACGGGCAAGCCCGCCCAGGTGAGCCGGCGCCGGGGCCGCCCGCGGGGCCCTCCGCGTATCGCGCCCGCCCGCCCCGCTTATCGCGCCCGCCCGCCCGCCGGACTTGGTGCCGCGGGCAATCCCGGCGGAGCCGGCGCAGCTCCGCACGGGTCTGAGCGGGGCGGGCCGCGGGGGAAACGTGCTTGTAAGGCCGCGTGGTGCCGGCTCTGTGCGCGCACGGCCCTGGTGCCCGCAGCCGCCCGCGTGGCCCGTGGGGATCCACCGGGAGCAGTTCCGCTGCTCCCGAGCCCCGTGGAAGGGCCTGGGGGTCCCCGCGGGCCGCCCGGCCACGCGGTGCCCCGCGCGCGTAGCAGGGCTAGGGCACGAGCTGCGCCCTAACGGCCCGTCCCTCCTTGCAGTACATCGCCGTGCACATCATACCTGACCAGATGATGTCCTTCGGCGGCTCCACGGACCCCTGCGCGCTCTGCAGCCTGCACAGCATCGGCAAAATAGGAGGGCAGCAGAACAAGAGCTACACCAAGCTCCTCTGCGACCTCCTCTCCAAGCACTTGCACGTGTCTGCAGACAGGTAAGGCTGGGAGAGCACACTGACTTGCCTCTCTCTGAAACTCCCTTGAAAACTCCATTTAGAAAGAAGAAAAAGCTGAGATGGGTGTGTTTGAAGAGATGCCCAGTGATCGTGCATTTCTGTTCATGTTCTGTTAAGAATCCGCCTACACTTTCCCTCGAGAGTTCACTATTAAATGATTTCCTGATAATACTGGAGTAGGGAGAAATAGCAGACGAGCGACTAAGCTGGGCTTGGCCTTTGTGGCCTGAGGTCTTGTGGACCTTACCTTATGATGGGAGACCAAAAGCACATTAGGCTGGAGTTGAAAGACGGAGAACCCAGAAAGGAGCCAGCGGGTTGTGGACAGCCCCATGGCAGCCTGGCAGTGCCCAGGAAGGAAGGATAGGGAGAACCTGCTGCCACTCACAGCTGGGACGGGATGGATGGATGGATGGAAGAACCACAGAGCCAGCCCCGAGGGGCTGCTTGACGTTCATGAGAAACTGCGTGGCTGTGTGATGCTTGTGAACCACCGCAGCGCTCCGGAACCGAAGGTTTTCATCTGCTGAAATCCATGACTGCTCCTGACCAACAGCTCTCCGGTGTCCCAATAGCCCATGACTGAAGAGGACAGCTTATATTTCAGGAAACAAAGTGCAGCTATGGGCCCTCCAAAGAATCTAATCTTGGCTGTTGGGGCTCTGTCCAAAAAGTTGGCTAGATTTCACTAAAAACACTATCCAACATGAATCTCTGAAGTTGCTTCTTCTAGGCACCAAGAAGCACTCTCACTCTATGTATCTTACCCCAATGACTATATAAAACAAATGATTTGGTAACTTCACTGTCTTTCTGCAGGGTCTACATCAACTACTACGACATGAACGCCGCCAACGTGGGCTGGAATGGTTCCACCTTTGCGTAGAGCTCTCCGTCTGACCAAAGAGGGGGCTCCTGGACCTGCCCTTCTCCTGCCACTTAGCAGAGATCTCCGCATAAACGGCCCCATGTTTTGTGCACCCTCACCCACCGATGGCTCCTTGTGTGTCCAATTGCTGCTTCAACATTCCTCCATTTTCTCTATGTAGAGAACAAATAAAGAATTAGAAGGAAGCTATGTCTGGTGTGAGTTTTACCAGTCAGGTAGGGGATGGAGTTGGGTGATCTCGGGCATCAGTTTCATTCTGGTTGGTAAAACAAAAAAGAGCTGCTGGGTTTGGTTTCCTCCTTTCTCAGGTATTTCACTGTACAGTCAGATAGCCTTCTGTGGATATGTTCCTGCTGCTGGGATCCAGAGCCTATAGTTGTCCTCCTTGTTGCCCTTGCTGCCATTGCGCACCTTCCGTGTCCTTCGTTTGTCACCTCCTTCACTACGATGGACACAGCCCTGGGTCCGGCGCTGTGGCTGCGGGAGCCCCTCCGTGAGCTGCCCCAGGGCAGGGGCATCTGCTGTCGTGCTGGGTGCGGATCCGCTGCCCACCGTGCGGCTCCCTCCACGTGGGCGGCTCTCGGGTAGCTCCCCGAGGTGGCCGCGGGGCAGCGAGACCCGCTGGGGTCCCGCGGGGCGCTGCGCCCGCCCCCCGCCATCTTGGCCGCCTCCCGCGCCCGTTGGCCGCCGCCGGCCGTTACGCGCTCGTGCGCATGCGCAGCGCCCCCGCCCGGCAGGCGGCGCGCGCCCCCTCGGCGCCTTCTCGATCCTTCCGCCGCGCCGGTGACGCCATCTCAGCGCGCCCGCGCGGCGCGGGGCCGGTGACGCCATCTCAGCGCGGCCATGGCGCTCTTCTGCATCAACCGGTAACGGCGGGGCGGCCGGCGAGGCCCGCGGGCCCGGCCCGGCCCGGTCTGGTCTGAGGGGGGTTGTCCTTGTTCTCCGCAGGTACGGCGGCGAGGAGCCGGGCGCGAGCGAGGAGCGCAGCCGGGCGCTGCTGCAGCGCCTGCGGGAGCAGGCGAAGGCCCGCGAGCTGCGCAAGCGGCAGCAGGAGGCGCCGCCGCCGCCGCAGCGGGGAGAGAGCGGGGGAGGCGCCGGGACCGCGGCCGCGAGCGGCTCCCGGGCGGCGGCAAGGAAGAGGAAGCGGGAGCGCGAGGAGGCCGCGGGCGGCCGCGGCGCCCCCGGGGCACGGGCAGGCCCCGAGGCGGCGGCCGGGCCCGCCGCGAAGCAGAGGAGGCAACGTGGGAAGAAGCCCCGGGCGGCCCGGGAGGAGCAGGAAGCGGGTAGCGATGAACGGGCCTGGGGCGCCTGGGTGCTTCGTGGCGGGCACCGCCACCAGGGAGGGGCAGAGAAGCTGCATTTTGAGGAATTTGCTGGATTTAGCTGATAATAAATTGTATCTTCCTTGACTTAACATGTTTCCAAAGCAGGTCTTGTAACAGTAGAGAGCCTCTTACTATGAACTTTTTGGAACCAGCTTCGTTTAATTTAAGGGAAGGGAAAAATTGTATCATCTTTGTCTTCAGTTGTCTTAATGCAACCAAGGCAATATTGAGGTCTTGTACTTGGGTTTAGGAAGCAAGACAAGCTCACAGGTCGTTAATTAAGTTTTACATTGTAGGGGTATTCCCTGTGTGTCTTTGGTGTAATATATTCTGATCTTTAGTTTTATTTTTTTCATTGTCCAAACTCCAGTTTCCCAAGAAGCTGATGATCAACAGGAGAACAGGAGTAACCTTGGAAATAAATCTCATAAAAGGAAGAAGAAGGATGAGGAAACCAAAGGAGCTGAAAAAATAAAAGAGAATGGTGAAAGCGCGGAAGGAGATCAAAACAGAAAGGAGGAGCTGTCCATAGCTGCCTTGGAGGAAGAGACAAAACCACCACCTTCTAGTCTGGTGTTTCTTGGTGATTATGACCAAAAGCCAGTGCAGAAGGTAGGTGGCTTTACTGACTTGTGGTGAAGTCCAAGGAAGGAAGAGGCATCTTATCAGCTTGTTTTATGGACTGTATTGCCCGCTTCATGGCAATAGCACTTTGTTACTTCTTGTCTCCCTGCCTCAGGTTCAGCCCTTCTTACCACAGTGGCTTGCTCAACCCAAACTAGTGCAAAAACGAATCAAAGAAAATCTAGTGCCAATCACAGATGTCCCAGGAATTCATCCCAAACTGTTGAAGAAGCTGCAAATGAATGGAATAGAGTCCTTTTTTCCAGGTATGTTAATTGTACCCTCATCTTTTTCTAAATTGACTTAGTTTATTCCGATTGTTTGTGTATCTTTTCCTATGCGGTATGTATTTTGTGTTAGCCAAGCAAAAAAAAAAATAGCCAAAAGCAAGTTTGATGTTTTAACTTGATCACACCCACTCTAATCCTTCACTTGCAAAGTGACTCCTTCACATGCAAAGATTGGGGTAGGTTGAGAACAGTTAACTAATCTTAAATGCAGCTGCATAAGATATAGTGACATAAAGTCATAGCTCATAACTGCCAGAAGAGGGAGATCTTACACATGTTCTCTGTGTTTTTTTTTCTTCCCTTTGCTCCCAGACGTTTTATTTCCTTACTGTGCACAATCTCTACTGCTAATTGGACCATAATGGAAACCTGCTTAAATCATAGAAATAGCAGAAAGCTGTCCAAGCAGAAAACAACAGATAAATAGCTGGTTTTCTATTATGTTGCCTATTTTGTAGATAGGTACAGTAAGTGCCAGCATCTAAATATGTAGATGAAGCTTGTGTTTGCACAGCTGGAAGCAGGGGTGAGGCGAGGAAGCAGGGAAAGTGGTATCTCCTGCCTTCAGCTGTAGTGAATTAGCCCAGATTGGCAGCTCTGGGCCTACAGCCTTACTCAGACTGCTTGGGTGCATGAGGACAGCAGGACAAGCATGGTTATAAAAATATTTAACATGGTAGCACGCAAGCATTAGAAATGGCTAGATTCTAGGAGAGGAAAATGTCCTATATTCAGTGGTAGGTTCATATTAATGAAAAAGAAACAGATAAAACTAGATAGTCTCTTCTTTTAACTTATGTTCCTAAGCACAACTGCCAACATGGAAACAGATCCATTGCTGCTTTTTTGGAGATAGACTAGGTTTCAGCTCAGTTCATTAACTTGTGAATACAACTTATTTCTTTTTAATTCCAGTTCAAGCAGAGGTGATCCCTGCTATTCTCCGGAGTGCATCCAATGGGTATTTGATGGGGCAGGGCGGATACCGCCCCAAAGACATTTGTGTCTCAGCACCTACTGGCAGTGGTAAAACCCTGTCTTTTGTCATACCTGTAGTACAGGTGAGTCTGCCCACAGGAAATGTCTATAGGGAGAAAAGCTAAAGTTGTGTTTCTTTCACAGCAAAATTTGTGAAGCTTTTAGAGGTAGATAAAGTCGAAGAATTTTTGGACATAAACCACCAGATTTTAGCTCAGGTCCAAGCTCAGATTTAGCTCAGTTTTTAGCTCAGATTTTAGCTCCTGTCCAAGGAAGCTGTACAAGTGCCATTGATCTCTGCATCTTGTTCCCTTTCACAGATGAAAGGCGCAGTGTAAAGGGTTGGGAGGGTAGAGAGGAATGAAATGGAAGCAGTTCTAGGGGATGCATTGAGCCCATCTTCTCAGTGACTCGGGTGTGAGAATCCTCTCTGCCCTGCTTTCAGGAGCTTATTTGGCCTTTGTTTTGGCAGGCTCTACTAGATCGAGTGGTTTGCCAAGTACGAGCTCTTGTTGTTCTGCCCACAAAAGAACTGGCACAACAGGTATGTGGCTCTTCTCCCTCTCCCTGAGCAGAACTGGGTGAGGGAAAGGCTGCTGCTATAAATATTTCATCTGGCAGCTCTGGTGACCAGCCTCTTAATGGGTTTGATGTTATAAGTGTGATAGAAAGCATGATTTTAACTGGCTTCATTGTGGCTAGTAAACCCTATCTCTTCTTTGCAGGTGAGTAAAGTATTCAACATTTACACCGATGGTACAGGTCTGAAGGTTGTTTCACTTGCTGGCCAGAAATCTTTTGCAAAGGAGCAGGAGATGCTTGTCCAGAAAAAGTAGGTTACATGGCTTAGATAAGGTTTATAGAGTTTGTCTATTAACTATTTAATCTCAGTAAACAGAGATCAACATAAAACTATTGCATAACATCACCACATGATGATGATTTTAGATAGTGCATTTGCGGTAAATGGTGATTATTTTGTCTTTATCAGGGTGCATACTACTACTTTGTGAATTTTTGGGGGGATGTTACCAGAGTAAAAGTAACATGCTTGTAAAAAGGGAAAGAAATACCTGTTAAAAGTGTCTGCCATGTTCACTAGTCAAGAAAAACAAGTCATAAGCAGAATGGTGCTTGTCATGAGGTGTCCAGCACAGAGTTCTTGCCTTGGTTTTGTAAGGTGCTGACAGACTTTGAACCTTTATCCCAACATACTGTTCCATCAGAGAACAGAGCTGAAATTTAGATAATATTGGGTAAAACTTACCCATAAAAAATACCCCACTGCAAGGAGAACCCTATTACCATCTGCTTGGTAACGTTTGTTAAAGTGAGATTTTGCTGCAGTTAAGCTTTGTTTTGTAACAATGAGGAATGTTCCTTTCTGTTTCAAATGAAGTAGTGTTACAGAGAATAGAATTTAGTCTCCAGCACTGCCTTTGCATGCTCTCCAAGGTAATCAGAGGTACTAGTGTAGGCTTAAGTTCAGCTGAGCAAGGGTCTCTGCCACATGGCTGCAGGGAGGAAGTTCCTGATGGGCTCTCTGTTTTTTCAGAGTGACAGGCTACTGCAGCCTGGCTGATATAATTGTGGCCACACCTGGACGCCTCGCAGATCACATCAGCCAGACCCCGGGGTTCAGCCTGGCACAGCTTCGCTTCCTGGTGAGTCAGCTCCATGGTCTCCCACCTTAGTGCAGGGTCTGTTACATCTGTAATTCCTACCTTGTACGTGTGCAGTGTATAAATAATGTCAGTATTGGAAATGCTGCCTGATCTTCCTGCGCGTTCTGGATTGCTCAGGCAGCTGTCCCCAGATGAGGTGTTTTATCCCAGCTCCTGACACCCGAGTGCCCTGCTACTTCCCCTTTTCTTTTTCCTCTTGTAAATGCACAATAAAGCCTTGGCAAGTATTCATCAAAAAATAGGATTTCAGGGTAAATTATCAGACTGTAGTCGTTTACAAGTGTATGGGAATCTGTACAGACACACAGAATTGCTATTCAGGATTTTGATATTTTTCTCTTACTCAAAAGCATGAATTGCTTATTGGAGGAAGGAAGGAGAAGGAGCATAGTTCTGTGGAGTAAAAGCTTGCATGCAATCTGAGGATCACCATTGTCTTATACAAAATTGTTTTTTATACAAAATTGTTTCTGTAGCCTGTATTTCACGTGACAGGGTCTTGCATTATGGAGCAGTTATTACAGAAATAGAAGGACAATAAAAGCTGTGTATGTAGTGGCAGACAGTATTTAACAAGTCGTGTGTTTTGTCTTGTGAACTCAGATCATAGATGAAGCTGACCGTATGATCGATGACATGCACCAGAACTGGCTGAACCAAGTTGTCAAAGCTGCTTTCCAAGCAGATGACAACTCTGGCTCCAATAGACTTTTTCACAGGACCCCACCAGGGCCTGTAACAGCAGCCAGGTGAGTTGCAATGTGCACTTCTTTGAACTGGTAAGACAAACATCAGCACCAAGGTGCTGTCGTACACAGCTGTAGGCTCTGCCAGAGCCTGCTGGCTCAGTGAAGTGTCTGCCAAACTTTGGCAGCTACTTTTCCATAGGTGGAAAGAGGTTAAGGTTGGGGAGAGGGGTGGCTAGGAAGCAAAGATGTGTGTTGGGGCAGTGAATGCAGCTGTGCAGTGGATTTCAGAGTATTGACCTGATCTGTCTGTGAACTCCAACAGAAAATGAGGGTGGAAAGGAAGCCACAGGAAAGGCCCTGGGCAAGGACAAGAGCTTCAAGAAGATATAATTGCTTCCCTCACAGCATCATTTGAGAGCACTCCTAGAGGAATTCCTTAGCTCTGCCCCCAAAGATCAGTTCCTGTGCTTTATTTCAGCTCCTGGCATCCTCAGATACCCTTACAGAAGCTGCTGTTTTCAGCCACGCTAACCCAGGACCCAGAGAAGCTGCAGCAGCTGGGCTTATTCCAGCCACGCCTCTTCACATCTGTCTATTCTGAGAAAAAATTACCTGGAGGTGGAGCAGAGACTGAACAGGACCCTGATGAGAAATATACCCTGCCTGAGGGGCTCTCGGTATGACATGAGATAGGAAGTAAGAATAACATATTGACACCTCAGAGGTCCCCCTCCAAGCCTGTGTACAGCATTGCTCCCCAAAGCCTGGGGAGACAGGTCGCTTTGGCTTCTCAACACGAGCCAGTGCATGTTGTTACTTGCCATAGGCAACAGTGAGAACACCCGACCACAGATCTGCAGATCTCCACAGATCTCCACCTTGTATCTTCCCAGTACCTACCTATGGCTTATTCTAAAGTTGGTGACAGTAGGAGGTCTAATTTTTGTTGCCTTTGGTCAGTAGCAAAATCTCCAGTCCTATGGAGGCCTTCGACAAGAAATAGGTTTTGGAGAAGACAGCTTGGCAAGAAGTAGTTACTGCATTTGATTGTTTTTCTTCCTTGTCCCTTGCAGCAATGTTATGTACCTTGTAACCTGAATTCCAAGCCTTTGCTCCTCTTGCACTTCATGCTGAAAATGAAATTTAGCCGAGTGTTGTGTTTTACCAACTCCAAGGAGGCTTCTCACAGGTGACTACATTAGTAAGATGACTGCAGTGCCTCTCCATTAGATAAGGTTAGTAAGTTGAGTAAGAAAGTGACAGTTTTTCTATTGCATTTACCTACAGATTGTTCCTGCTGATTCGAGCCTTTGGTGGAGTCACTGTGGCTGAGTTTTCTTCCCGGTTGCCTCCAAATGAGAGACATAGAACCATGAAGGAATTTGAACAAGGAAAAATACAACTGTGAGCATCCTAAACGAGTTTCCTGCATGTCTTTCGACACAGGCTGTTGCCAGTGTGAAAAGCATGTTAGGACCAAAGCACATTTATACAGTCTGCCCTGTGAAATTGAGCATACAGCAAGCAAAAGAGATGGGAGACTTGAGCTTACACCTTCTGAATTACATTAACGCCTATATATAATCTGGCCTGTTTTAATCTAGTTGTGATATGAGTTTATATGTGTTATTTTGTAACGAGCAATAAAAGTAACTGGCTGTTGGCATTGCTGCCCAAAACACGTGCAGTGCTATAGATGTTAGCCTTGGTGTATGTGATTAGGATCAGCGTTCAATGGAATGAAAAGGGATGTTATTGCTAGAACAACTATGTAAAAGCATAAATGCTACATGTAGCTATGGCAGAACATCCATTTTTATGCTTTCTACTGTAAATGCTAAAATGGGAGCTGTCAAGATGAGCATTCTATGCTCGGAGAACCTGGAAGCAGCCATTAGCTTTCAATGTACAACAGCAGCTGAGTAGTCTGGAGCGATTCCTTGGAGATCTGCTGGTGACTAGTGCTGTTGGTGACACTAAGGAGTGACTTAGTGCTGTGCTCAGCAGGCAGTTTGAACAGAGATGAACAACCTTAGTGCTTACACTTGTTATCTATACTCTGTAGTACAGAAGACATTACTTGAAAATAACTCTGTATACATTGAAAACAGGTTAATCAGCACAGATGCCACTGCTCGAGGAATCGACATTAAAGGAGTGAATTGTATAATAAACTATGATACTCCTCAGTTCATCAGGACATATATTCACCGGTAAGATAATCAGCAACAGAAGGAATAAGTGCCAACTTAGTTTACTTAGAAATGTTTGGTAATATTAACTCTCACTTAAAGGGGTATTCGTGCTGCCTTTTTGAAAAATTATTTTTTTAACTTCATATGCAAATAGCTTTCCAATCAAAATTAATCATATCTCATTACCAGACTAATATAGTAGTAGAATAGAGGGCCAGGACCCTATTATATAAAATATATTTTACAGAAGCTAGAAATATCCTTAAGAACAGTGTCAAAAATTGGCTTTCCAGATGCTCAGAAAACTACCAAGACTTTACAGCCATGAATGACTCCTAGAAAAGTTCATTCTTTGTGATGCATATAAAACCTGCTGTTCTGACCTCAAACGCAGAGTTCCTGAAATCTGGAGAATTTGGAGGTCTCTTGGGGTTGATAATGGGAGTGACTACAAGATGAAACTCATTTACCTGCTCACTTTTCTGCTTTCAGAGTTGGAAGAACGGCACGTGCAGGAAAAACAGGCTTAGCTTTCAGCATGGTCCTTAGAATTCAGGTACGTCACTGATGAGAGATCTGTTCTGAGGAGAAGCAGAGAGGAGTGTGAGGAACATATAGGGTTCATATCTCCTGTCTTCTCCAATCACCTGAGCTTTGTATTTGGCTGTAACTTTCTATTCAGTTATTTCCCTATGTGTAACACTTTCAAAAACATGCTCCTTGTCCAAGAGCATGACCATTAAGCCTGGTCCTCGTCTCACCTTTTCCTCTGTGTCCGCTGTGTTGTGCAGGAGCGCAGGTTTCTGCAGATGTTGAAGGATGCCGGCATCACCGACATAAAGCAGCACTTGGTGAAGGGCAAGTTGTTAAAACCGTTGGTGCAGCAATATGAAGAAGCTCTGTCTAAGCTTGAGAAAACAGTCAAGGTAATTGGAACAGCGAAGAAAGAAAACAAATTGCAACTTTAGACAGTTTGTTGCAGCCTGTGGCCAGCATAGGTTGGCTAGTGTCCAGGAACTGAGATGCACCTTCAGGTCCAAGGCAGTACTTTGGGGTGTATCATTATAAAATACTTGTAAAAGATAGGAAGAGAGAAGGACGTTCTGCAACTGAACAAAAAGTAGGCAGAATTTATGTTCCCTTTTCTATTTTGCCTCTCTCTCTCTCTCTACCTCTTGCACTTTGAATTTGCCTGATGCATAGCCTAGGGACCCATGATAGATCTTTTGTGCTGCATGAACTCTTATTTGGGAGGCTCCCAAATCCAAAGCAAAGCCTAGACCTCTGTACCTGAAAACTGTCATGATTTTGAGGTGCAGATTAAGGGTGTTAGAGAACTTGGACAAGTCACAATTGTAGTTAAGGTAAGGCAGAATTAAGCTGTTAGCTGTAGTGTTGCCTGAGCTCCCTCTGTGTCACCCTGAGACAGTGTCTTCAGCCACCTTCTTGATTTTCATTTTGAACAGGACGAACGAGCACAGAGACGAGCCTGAGCGGATGCAGGCACAGGGGATCGTGTGCCTCTCGTGCCGATCGTGTGACGGATGGTGCTGCAGAGCACCGTGGCAGGGAGACACTTCCCGGGCTGAGGGGTTGGCTCCTCCTTTGTCACGTGCTGCCTCTGCTGTTGTGAACTTTGCTCCCATTTCAAGGTTGATGGAAGAGAGTTCACTTTGTTTGACAAAACAAAAAAAAAAAAAAGAAACTGCCTCGTGGAGAACTTGACGTCGTATCCTACATGTTCTTCTGGAGCCTTCAGTCAGTGAACAGAAGAGTCTTCTGCAATCCTTGAACTGAAATCAGACTTGAGTCTGATGAAACTGCTGGTCAGCAAAGGCAATGACTGTCCCCTCCCTGCCTCCAAACCAGGACAAATGGTGTTTCAGTCTTGCTGCACAAGCAATGGTATCTGCACATGCAGAAAGCCTATACCCCACCTACAGCGGACTGGTGTTTGAACAGCTTTTGTAGGGTGAACTCTAACTTTTAAATACTATATATATTTTTTAAAAAAACATCACTGTCTATTAAACATTCCTAGGCAGAGAACAGGATGAGGGGAGTTTTGTGTATCTCTTCTTGCCCTTTCTACATTTAGTGACAGTGGTAACCATGGGTATTATTAAGTGTTAGGTTAGTGTTAGCACACACTGATATAGTCTTGCGCCCTGTTAGGTCCATGCAAGCCCTAAATATCCGTGTGGCACATGCCACTGATATTTTTAGCTGCCCCTGGCACAAGCCTTGCAGCTGTTAAGGGTCTGGCCAACTTCCTAGCTGCAGCCTCCACCCGCGTTGATGGGATATGGGACAGTCACCCTCAGTGAGGGGCATTTGCTGGGGTGTTTGCTTTCCTCACACAGTAAATATATTTTTTGTTAGCACTACAGGCCTGGAGCAGGATGAAGTAAGGAAGGAGGTGTGGAAAGCTGGGGGAAGAGACGGATGCGTGGAAGGCTAGGACAGCAGTAGCTTGCGTTCTTTGATGCAGGTGTGTGTCTTAGGACCCGCACTCACAGTACCAGGGTGGGCAGATGTTCGTGCAGCCCTGCAACCTCCCTGGAGCAGGCAGAGACTCAAGCTCTGGGGTGCCCAGGGAGCCACCCCCGGCTTTGCTTTTCCTTATCACTGCAGTTAAGGGTCCCTATCAAGATGAACCGCTCCTGCTCCGGGGCTTCTCGGAGTTTGCCCGGGCGCAGGGCCGTGTCCTCTGCACCCTGCGTGCTGGGGGCTGCTCAGGGGCCGGGGGCGCTCGGGGACCGGCGGCAGCGGGGCCGGTTGGCAGCGGGGCTGCCCCAGTCCCGCCCCGCGCGCGGCGCCGCCCCCGGCTCTCTCTGCAGCCGCGGCCTTGGCGGCAGCAGCCCCGGCCTTGGCGGCAGCAGCCCCGGCCTTGGCGGCAGCAGCCCCGGCCTTGGCGGCAGCAGCCCCGGCCTTGGCGGCAGCCGCGCAGGCGCCGCCATGTCGCTGAAGCTCTACCTGGACCTGCTCTCGCAGCCCTGCCGGGCCCTCTACCTCTTCGCCAAGTGCAACAACATCCCCTTCGAGTTCAAGCGCGTGGACGTCATGAAGGGTGAGTGGGGCCCGGGCCGCTGCCCAGCGCGGGGCCCGGCTGCTCGGCCACTGTCCGCTGAAGTGCAGCCCGCCCGGCGCCACAGGCTCCGCACGGGCCCCCGGCACCTTCCCGTGCGCTTCCGCACAAAGCAGATCCGGGAAAGAACAAACGTTTCCCCATGGAACGCCCATGACAGCATGGGGGATAAGCTGAGATCCTGTGTGCAGGAGGGGACACCTGCGATGTGCGGGACCCCCAGCACCCTCCTCTCCCCGATCCACGCCCCCCATGGCAGCTCCCGGCTGGGCTGCAAGGATCTGCGTGGGGCCAAGCTGTCAGCCCCCCTTTTACCAACTGCAGCAGTTAGCTAAAAACTACCCCGACAATTAAGCTAATTTAGACATTAAGATAACTTAGAGGACTTAAGAACTCCCAAGCAATGAAAACTTAAAACGCTGAAAGCTGAGAAGGTTCCTGGGGCTCCAATTGATAAAAGAACAAACAAGGCTGCAATTTGCTGCTGCAAAACTTGCAGTGTGTCTAAGCTCTAGTTCCCCTTCCTGCCTGAGCCCTTCCCTGGCTCCGTGTTGCTGCTTCTCTGCTCTTACTGACCTGTGTCCCAGTAGGAACGAGTGTTTGCAGGATTAGCTGGGATTAGCCCCCTCGTGCACACTTCCAGTAAATGGTTGTGATGATACTGCAGGAGAGACCAGTAGTCAAACAAGGAGCATCCCAGGGAATGGAAGAACTGGGATGGGCAGCAGGGACCAGACTGGAAGCGGGTTCAATCCCAGTTTCCTGATGCTTCATGCCCTCCAGCAGCAGTGTTTGCTTTGACCAGTGCCCTAGGATTAGGTCAGGGGGTTAAAAGGGGTAATTTGGTTTACAGGAATGCTGGAGGAGTATCTGATTCCTGCACTGTGTGTGGTGCTGTAGAGCTCCTCTCCCTGGAGCTAGGTGCAGGACAGACAGGTATGAGCACCTGAGCACTGAGACCCCAGCTCAGGGCTTCCCAGGACCTTGGGTGCAAGGAAGCAGGAGTGGCCTTGCTGCAGTAGCGCGTGTCACAGCACCAAGTAAGGGGACACAGACCTTGATTTGTGCTGGAGCTTTGTGAGGTTGGGCTCAAGGACTCAGGAGCAGGTTGAGACTTCAAATGACAAAACTGCCCTCTCTTGTTGGCTTCCCTCCTTGCCTTCCATGTTTTGGGCACCTAAAAGCTAGCTTGAAAGCAAAATCAAATCCATTTTTACTGTTCAATCTGCATATGCAGGACTTGCACATGGAGCTAGATTGTTCTTAACCACATACTGCTTTGTATGCAATCATTTAACTCTTGGCTTTACCTAGGGGCTAAAAGGAGAATATAAATTACCACTTTTTCCAGAAAAACGAAGTCTTTGGGTTCCTCACTGTCCGTATGATTAAGCCACCTCCTTTTGGATATTAATATCACCACTCCAAGCAGCTCAGCATTCCCTCTAGGAGGGGGTATTGCCTCATCCAAGCGCCTGGCAGGTACCTGCAAGGACAAGGACACCTGTCACAGCCCTGCCGACAAACAGGGCAGATCTGAATGGTGCCCTAACCAGTGTGACCTTCCCGAGCGGCTTCTCGGGCACGCAGGCACCAAGCAAGGCAGCTGTCATCACCAGGCAAAGCCACGACCTGCCCTGTGGCGCTTTTCATGAATTTAAACAAGTGAATTTAACAAGACTCGTGAATTTAATCAGGAGGGTGTTTGTGCAAAGGGAGCTGGGACCCCGAGTGCCACGGGTCTCACAGGGGTGTGAGGGATTTGCAGGGGTGCACGGGACTTGCTGGGGTGCGAGCAGCACTGCCTCCTTCCCCACAGGGCAGCACAGGAGCGAGGAGTTCCTCAAGGTGAACGCCCTGATGAAGGTGCCAGCCTTGAAGGACGGGTCTTTCGTCTTAGCAGAGAGGTGAGGCTGCTGCCAGCGTACGGTTGCGTATCCTTGCGGGGAGCTCCCTCCTTCCCATCTTGGCTCCATTTCCAAAAGCACTGTGAGCTGCGGCTCGCGCACGGGCAGCAGGTCAGGCCCCTCAAACCCCCTCACACTGTGACCAGGGCACCAATGCGTGTCCAGCCTAGCACCTGAGCTGGGCCAGGTCTGCACCACTGTTTGGGATGGGGGAAGGATGAAGCTCTCGGATCTCCTGCCCTCACTGGCCCTTCGCTCTCTGCGTAGCATCGCCATCCTCCTCTACCTGAGCCGGAAATTCAAGACGCCCGATCACTGGTACCCGTCCGACCTGCAGAAACGGGCCAGGGTGGATGAGTACCTGTCGTGGCAGCACACCAGCATCCGCGCCAAGGGGAGTGAAGTGTTCCTGTCCAGGGTAAGCTTCCTACACTGAAAACTTAAGTGCTAACAGCGGGGACTTCTGCGGTGCAAGAAGACATCCCCTGTGTGTAGGACTTCTCTAGGGATCCGGGTGAGGGATGCTTAGAAGTCAATGGCAGGGCTGAGTTAAGTTTGGATTGAAACATATAAAATGCAGCATTTCATTTCTTGTCTCCCTGGTAGTTGATGCTGCCTGTCCTTATCGGCCAGCCTCTGCCTCCAGAGAAGGTGACAGGAATCACCCAGGGGCTGAACTTCGTCCTGAAGCAGTTTGAGGAGAAGTTCTTGCAGGACAAGGCCTTCATCGTGGGCACCGAGGTGTCCCTGGCAGACCTGGTGGCGCTGGTGGAGCTCATGCAGGTGAGGCCAGGGCAGGCCCAGGTGCTGCAGCTGCACCCACGCTTCCTAAATGGCAGCTCTTCCTCTCTGCGGCTTGTTGCGGTTTAAACGTGTTCCTTGTTGACGTTGACCATAATGGAGATTGTTTGCCAGGGAATTTTTACTTTGATGAGAACTTCTTTTCATAGATTTATGCTCAAAATGACATTTTTTCTTCTATAAAAAAGAGAAAAATGACAAACCGGGTAGAGAGGGAGGAAGAGGAGGCTGGGAGAACAGCTCCCTTCCTTACAACAGGACCTCACAAGGGAAACTAACTCCATCTGTGGCTGAGAGTTTTTATATGGTCTTCATTTAACCTTTTTTAACTGCACAGTAGGGGCTTCCCATCCCCAGACTGAAGCACCCATGCACTGCTGTGGTTGTCTAGAAATAGAGGGAGCCCTCTTGTATCTTAGGTGGGAACAATATCTATTTGATTACCTTAAACTCTCCCATGAGCAGTTTCATAAGGTGAAGTGCTGAAAGAAAGAAAGTACAGATGTTTGGAGGAGGCAGATTGGTCTCCACAGACCTCTGTGTTCCTCCTGAGGACACTCCTTGGCTTAGCCAAGGGAAGGCCCTTTTGCTGCGAGTCCCACGGGAGCGCAGCTGCTGAGGATGCCAGCACTGGATTCCTCTTCCTACCAGCTAAGAGAGAAGCCCAGGTGGGGACTGTACCCTGGCTGGAACCGGGATCATCCGTGCTCCTGCAAAGGGCTTGTCTGGTGCCTGTTGGATCCTGCTCTCAGGCTTTGTCGCTCTCTCCCTGCAGCCTGTCGGTGCCGGCTACAACCTCTTTGAGGAGAGGCCAAAACTGGCGGAGTGGCGCAGCAGGGTGGAAGCAGCGGTGGGGCCGAAGCTCTTTGAGGAAGCCCATCAGGGCATCTTGAAAGCCAAGTACATGACTGCGGATAAAATTCCACCTCAGGTGCTGGAGAATATCAAGAAAGAAGCCTTAAAGCAGTTTGGCCAGATTTAGGGGGTTACACTCTAAGCAAAGTGGGTTATTTTGTGTGAGCTTTTATATCATATTTCAGCATTTCTTCTAAAAATTACATTAAAATGGCACTCTGCAAAATGCCCTTCCATCACAGCCTTTCTGCAACTTAGAAGAAAAGGAAACTCCATGTTGGACTACAGCGAGCTGCTTCCCTTGCAGCTCCACAGCCTTCTCTCTCTTGCTGCAGAGCCAGTGGAGCTGCTTGGGGACTGAGGCAACTCCATAGGAGGGACCTGGAGCTGGTTAGAACTGCCTTTTTTTTTTTTTTTTTTTTTTTTTTTTTTTTTTTTTTTCCCTGTTGCGAGCTTTTTGGAACAAAGCAACAAAGAAGAGGCAAAGATTTGCTGCAAGTAGGGCAGGTCTCTCTGCCTAGACTTTCCTAGGTGAAAAGGGGATGTCGAAAGTGTCCTCCCATTGCAACAAGCGTTTTGCTCCTTCAATAAGAAGAGAGAAGCCAAAACCAGCCTGTGGATGGGGGCCCTGCCCAGGATCCTGCTAGATCTGGCCCCAGACGTTGCTGCCTCAGCAGCTGGTGCAAAGGGCACCGTAGCCCCTCAAGAGGAGTCTCTCACTTGGATGCAGGTAGCATCAAGCAGCCCCAGCCTCTGGAGTCACCTGCAAAGAGCAGCCTGCACGGAGGGAAGAGCTGCTTTGCTAACCGGAGCCTCTGCCGCACGCGCTGCCTGTCCCCGGGCCCTGCCGGTGCTCCGCTCCCCTCGGAGCGACCTTGGGAGCTCGGACACGGCTCTGATTCAAGGTGTTGCTGGGGTGGGGGCAGCGGTGCCCCAGGTAAATCTAGTGCCTTAAATAAAAGCTAATGTCCTGCTCCTTGGGTGTCGCCGCGAATTCTCCGCTGGGAAGGAAGCGGCTGCTGAGTGATGCTGCCCGCAGCGCGGCACCTCTTGTACCCTCCTGGCTGTGTGGGTTTGTTCCCTTTTCCTGTCCCATCCTGTCCCTGTGAAGTCCCAGCGCCAGGTAAGGGAGAGGAGGGGGGTCCGGTGCGTGCGACTCTGTTTCCCCCCTTGCAAAGCAGCGGTTGCAGTTGGGATCCTGGCTGTACCTGTGCCAGGGAGGCTGTACCCACCTGTGCAGGCTGTGCTCTGCAGCTGTGGGTGCCATGTGGCGCCGTGGGTGCTGGACCACGGTCACCCTAACCCAAGGCAGCGCTTTGAAGTGCAGATAGGGCTCATGGATCACGGATCAAGTGAGCCACGCATGAAGGAGCAGGGTGAACCTGCGCTGCTAAGGGCACTGCCCAACAAGGGCATGGGTGCTCTCGCTGGTAGCTCCAGAGTGGGGACCTGCCATCGTTCTGCAGTACAAGAGCTTTTCTGACTGCATGGCCCATGCAGGGCAATTTCCCACTCCTCCTGCGCGCTCCGGAGCGGTTCCTGCCTCCCACACAGCTGGCCAGGACGAAGTGGCTGCAAAAGCAGCATCCCAAATAAGTGCCCCAACCTGCAGTGGCGCGAGAGGAGGGTGGCAGGTCCCGGCCACGCTGAGCGTGGTGCCCTGCGAGTCGCCCGAGCGGCTGCAGCGCCCGCCCTGCTGCCAACCTGTCTCCCGCATCTGTCTCATCCGCGCCCTGCTCTTCCAAAGCAGGGGGCTGGTGCGGAGCCAGCGCGGCCGGGCTCCTGATCCTGCGCGAACACAACCGCCTTCCCGCGCCGGGCAGGGCTCCCACGGGGGCTCTCCCGGGGGCTCCCCGGCCCTTCCAGCCGCGCGCCGGGCCCGTCCCGGCGGAGCCCGCGGGAGCCGGTGCCGCCCCTCGCCCCTCCCGCGGCCGAGACCCAGCGGGGCGGCCCCGCGCGGGGCCCGGCCCGGCCCGGCCCGGCCCGGCCCGTGCGGGCGCTGCCCCCTCCCGCCGCGCAGAGCCGCGCAGGCCGCCGCCGCCGGCGCCACCATGGGGCTGGAGCTCTACCTGGACCTGCTCTCGCAGCCCTGCCGCTCCATCTACATCTTCGCCCGCAGCAACAACATCCCCTTCGAGTTCAAGCACGTGGAGCTCTTCAAAGGTGGGGCCGGCCCGCCCGGCCGCCCGCGGCGGCCCCGGTCCCGGCGGCGGCCCCGGGCCGGCAGCGGGGCAGAGCCCCCGCGCTCGGCGCCCCGCGCTCAGGGCGCCTCTCTTGCCTCTTGGCAGACTCGGTGCTGGGGAGGAGGCCGGCGGCGGGCGGCGCGGAGCAGCCGCGCACAGGTGAGGAGCGGCCGCCGGGGACACTCGCCCTGCGCGGGGCGGCGGGGGGGGCCCGGTTCCCACCCGAGCCGGCGGCTCCGCTTTGCGCCCTTTGCCCCTCGCGCCGCGGAGACCCGGTGCTCCCTGCCCGCTCCCGCTGCCTCCCGAGCCTCCCGCCCCGCTTTCCCTGCAAGGTGCCGGCTCGGCGGGTGATTTTCCAGGGGGATTTTCCAGCTCGCTGTAGCCCTGTGCAGGGCGGCGGAAAGGCGAAGCTGCCCTCGCAGCTCGGATGGGGCAAGTGCAGGTTTAGGGAGATTCGATCCCAGCGGGAAGAGAAGGCGCCTACCTGGAGGCTGGTGGAAGGGTGACGTGTTCCTGAGCCTTGAACCCAAGGCTTTTCCAGACAGGGGCTCATCCCCCGCACAGAAAAGGCCGGTTCGGCAGCACCTGCACGTTGGAGCTGAGCAGGTGGCCCCAGCAGTCTCAAACAGCCGCCCCGGGAAGGGGCCGAGGTGCAGGGCTTCACATGGAGCTCTAATTCCCGGCTGTCTCGCGGCTGCGCTGCAGCTATTTTTGTGGATCCCCGAGGAATGTTCCTCCAGCCCTTGCGAGCAAAGCGGTCACAGCGACAAGCCAGGAGCGCCTGGGAACCGTGTGCTTGGCGGAAACGTTCAGCTGTTCACACTCGTCCAGCGCTATAACAAGACTGTTGCCCGTTTATGTCTTGCGTTTTCCTGGTAAACTGCTTTTCACTTTTTTTGCCTAATGCAAATGATTGTATCCAGAAATCCTTGGCTAAGGAGATGGCAAGGCAGGGATGTGACAGGCAAATGGACTGATTTTTTTTCCCTTTGACTTCTTTTCCCAAAACTTGTCCCTTTAGTTTTGTACGCCGGTAAATCCCCTCCCTTGCACAGTAGCTTCCCCTGAGCATCCAGCTCGCAGCCTCCCTGCCTCCCTCGAGCCCGGCATTGCACAGTGCAACACAGAACTAGTTACACCAGGTGCAGCTGGTGCCCAACAGCCCTGCGCGTCACCGCGGTGTCACGGGTGGGACAGCCTGGCCACCCGTGAGCAGCTCTGCCACAGACACCTGCGGGAGGAGAGGCAGAGTTGCCATCAAGTCAGTGTTTGCAGCGAGGCTTTTACCAGCTCACACATCAGCGGCCGGACCTCCGCACGGGCCTCTGTGTCTCCCTGCAAACCTGCATTTCTCCTTCCACTGCCAGCTGTAAGCGAACGGGATGGGCCAAAGGCTGGTTTCATTTCTCTGAGACTAATTCCCACCGTGCGTTTGTCCAGCAACGCGGTGGCTGCTGCTGCCTCCTGCCCGGTGGCAGTAGCTCTTGAGGTCTAGGCCGTGGTTTCTTCGCTAAAGGCTCCTAATCTTCGAACAAAAGGGATTTTGGAGTGAGACTCCCTGCTCGTTGTGTTGCCCGGACCGGCCGCTGCGCCCTGAAAGGTAGCGTCTCTGTACCGAGAGCTCTGCAAACAAGCAGAGCAAACAAACGCAGACCTCCTCGTGGTGCGTGGACTCCCGGCCGGCTCCGTGGCGCAGAGTTGCTGACTTGCAGGTTCGGCGCCTTCAGAGGAACCCACAAGCGCGATTAGATATCCCGCCGTGCTGCGTGCAAGCACCCGTGGCCCTGGAGTTTAAACTCCTTTATGGGCCACATCCGCCTCTTTTTACTTTTACTCATTTTACTCATCCACCTCTTGCGTTTCGCCATGGGGCAGGTGGACCCGCTGACCCACAGCTGCCTTAGAGGTGTGTAGGTGTCCCAGCCCCTCGCTGGTTTTCTGCTGTGGAAGCAATAAATTATGTGTCCCACGTCCCGTGGCTGATATTCCTGTTTCTTCCCATCCCAGCAAGAACTCTGGAAGCATCTCAGTGTCTGCAGAGGGGCCAGCTCTGCTGACAGCGCTTGCTTTTCTTGCGATTACTCAAATTCCTCTGCTCTTTGGAGACGAGCGAACTATAGAAAGACTTTGCTCCATGTGCCTATCAGCCAGCCAGGGGCCCTTTGGTTATTGACCTGCTGCAATGATCTCAGCGGGCCCAAGGCTTCCAAGCTGCCTTCCAGCAGGGCTCCATCCTAGCTAGTCAGCCAAGTCTGTGAAGCCGGAGGAAAGAAAATTCCCTTGTTTCGTGTTGCCTGTGAGACGTTTGCTTTGTGAGGAGGCTCTGCACACTACTCAACCCTTCCAGACCCTGTCTTCTTCGCAAATATCAGATATTTTGCGTTGCTGGGTTATCTTTATCCCAACTTCCCTCTTTTCCCCACGTCCCTGCGGCTTTCAAGCCAGGCCAGCTCCTTCTGCTTGTCTGCAGCAACATTTCCAACGACAGCGTGTCCAGGTGGTACCTGAACTCCTCCTTGTGTGTGATTCTTCAGTAGATTTTACCTGTTGCAGGTACCAGTGCAGCTCAATTTCCTACAGAGCCTTGTGGTCTTCTCCATGCAGTGATGGGACTGAGCAGACCGCACTGTCTGCAGATGGCTTTACTCAGACTGCTCAGTTTTCTTTCCTTTTAATTATGGAATATGACTGTATGGGAAAAACATAACTCAGTTCTCAAACTGTCCATCTATTTCATTGACCATTCAACCTCTCACTTGCCTGTTCTTGTTGATAGGGTCATCAAACAGCGAAGGGGCTGCCAAGGTCAGCGTGCTGAGGAGGGTACCGGCGCTGAAGGATGGGGACTTCACCCTGGCAGAATGGTAAGAACTAAGGTCTCAAACACGCCTGGCTCCCAGTAATCCTGTTCAGGAGATGTTGTTCCCTCTGAACAACTGAAAACAGAAGGATTTGCCATGAACTGGATGGTTTAATGATCTGCGTTGGCATTTCAGTTTCTGTGTTCCTGAAGAGAAAGGAGATGAAAGTCCATTGAGCCGCACGGTTAGGGTTCTGCAGGGGAGGATGTGGATGGTTCACAGAGGGAGGTGGCTTTAGAAAGATGCTCCTTGGCAGGAACTTCTGTGATTATACATGATAAACTAGCCATTTGAGTCTGGTTATAGAGAATCAGGTCTTTTTTCTGCCTAAGATGATATTACAAGTGCTTATTTTCTCCATCACATACCTTATCTCTTGGTTTGAGGAGGATAATACATTGCGAACTCATATCTTGACATAGGTCTTGACATATATACATATTATTGCATATAATTCTTTTATTTCAGATGTCTTTACCTTGCACGTACCACTGCAAAGTGAAAAAAATCTGCATGCTGTGTCATACCTTGTAACACATTCAATATTTGTAATAGTATAACCTCATTTATAATCTCATTTCCCTTATTTCCATTTTCTTTGCTTGAATTATCTTTCACAGCCTAAATTGATTAGCTGCCTTCATTTCTTGATCCTGCCCCGGATGCAATTACCACAAAAACTGGATTATAAACACTGCAGGGAAACGTTTAAAGCTTATCAAATCCCTGGGAGAAAGGTGGAACCACTTCTATTTATATGAATCACTCAGAAAGTCCAAATTAAGCCCTATAGAGACAAAATTTATGTTTTACATTCTAAATCTACTATGGAGATCTATGATCTAACTCATTACTAGTATTTCAAGACTGAAACAATTGAATTACTGTAGTAGGAGGCCTTTATTTCTCTCTTTTTGCCCACATGGGGTTTTCTGTGGCATGGCTTTTTATTAGCAGCCTGCATGTTGCTGCAGATAACTAAGGCTTTGCTTTTCTTCTTGATGATAATTCGTAATGATATCAACATAGGGACCTAACAAGCCAAAACAGAAGAGTCTGAGGGCTCTCCCTGCTGGGATTTCCACTGGCTTCAGTGGAAGCTGCAGGTTCGACAGACCTGGATGTGCTCCGAGGGCAGCATGACTCATTAGACAGCTTTGCTTTGTGCACACGCACATAAATATCAGTAGGTCTCAGCGAGACGGCTCGGAGCAGCTGAGGAGCGAACGTTGCTGATAGATGATTACGGAGATTTACTGTTTGTTTACGCAGTGTCCAGGCACTGCCCAGCAAAGCGGTGGTTTCCAGCAGGCTCCAGTGCTCGGAGGGGTTAAGGGGAGCGGGTGCCAGCAGGAATCAGGTGCCTCTGCAGGTCCCTGGGCTCCGTTCAAATGTGGATCCGGGTGCTGGCTCGTGGGGTGTCAGGGGAAGCTCTTTGGGCGCCCATGCTGACCCGTCGTGTCTCGTGGCTGTCTGAGCAGCACCGCTATCCTGCTGTACCTGAGCCGAAAGTACAACACTCCCGACCACTGGTACCCGGCGGACATACAGAAGCGGGCGCAGGTGGATGAGTACCTGTCCTGGCACCACGCCAACATCCGCGCTAACGCTCCCAAGACCATGTGGATCAAGGTAAGGAGAATTCATACTAAGATGTCAGCAAAATGATGCTTTCCTGGCAGAATCCTCAGCACTGGAACAGGCCCGATACCATTGAATTTGTCACACTGATTTTGTCACATCCCTTGTGCTGTCCCTAGCTGGGAGGAGCTTTCCTCATTGCTCAGCATGGGCTTCTGCAAGAGCAGCTTTGGTTGTTTCTGTTCTTTTACTTAAAGCCGGTGTGATGAAGGACGTCTCAAAGCCCAACACATTTTCCTTGCTTGTGGTGGACAAATGTGTAGCAGATTGGAGCCTATCGCGGCCTCCCCGCCGTTACACAAGCGTGCAGCTCATGCACAGAGGTTTTGCTGCCTGGACTTGGCTGCTGGAAGCTGAACGCCCGTGTTCCTCAAGCACCAACTCCCTGGAGTCCAGCAGGGTGGGAGCCTGGAAGAGCCTGCGCGCTCCTTTGGGACTGGCTCTGCGACAAGCAGAACGGGGGTACAGAAAGAAGGGCAGAATCTCTCCATTGAGTGAGGTCAGATGGATTAATAGCGAGGCAAAATTAACATGAAAATTAACAGAAAGCCACTTATTCTCAGTCGATTGTGCTGGCCACCAATCTCCAGGAGCTCCTCTGAAAGTTACATTAATGTCCTCTGAGAAACCCAGGGGCAGATACAACCCTACAAGTATAGCTGTGATATAGATTATCACATCTCAAAATAAGGCCTGTCAATAAATGGGTAAGGACGTTGCCATTCCTGTGTTGTTTGTCCTTATTCATGCTTAACAGAACATCAGGATTCATTTAGCTTTTGATGTATTGACATTTGAATTTTGACTAAAGAGCACAGAGAAGCAACAAATATGAGTCAGATTCATGCAAAAAGCAGATTTTCCTAGTCTCTGCAGGCTGCCATTGCAGTGCTTCGAGGCAAACAAATCCAGGTCATTTCTGCTGCTGAGAAGATACCCCAGCTGCAGAAAAGACCCTCAGAATCCTTGGAAACAGAAAAATGTATAAAGCCACCGTGTAACATTAGCTAAGCAAGGGAGAAGACAGCCCCAAGAGGAAGGAAAGGAAGAGGATGTCGTTTCAGAGCCACAAGTCCCATCATGTGTCACTGGAACCGCTTCGGAAAAGAACTGGCCATGAATTTTCTGAGGAAATCGATTCCGTGTGCATTCGGCAAACACCCTGCCTCGGATTAAGCAACCACGACGTGACTTGCTGAATAGACCAGCAGTGAGGACAAATTTATTCCACTCTCACAAATGGAAATTTATATCTCTAATTCTGCTTATTAATTATATTTCTTTTGAAGCTGTGGTAGGTGGAGGCAGGGTAGCTGTGAGAGCTCCATTAGTGGCACACATCCTCATGAATCATTGCTGGAGCAGCAAACCTCTCCAACCATCGGTTTTTAATTTGAGATTTGCAGCTGGCTTCTTTTGCGGATGCAGTGCTCATCAGAGATGCTGGCCTGATGATGGGAGGGCCAGCAGGCCCATGGGGATGAGGCCCACGCTCCCCTGGGTGTGCTGAACTGAGGCAAGATTGCCATAGAGCTGCTTGGGGACCATGGAAGGGCTTGTGGAGCAAGGATCCTCACCCCATCTCAGCCTCGCTGGCTGCTGCTGCTGCCCAAGGGAATCATTTTCCATCGAATCACAGAATGGCTGAGGCTGGAAGGGACCTCCAGAGATCATCCAGTCCAACCCCCTGCTCCAGCAGGGACACCCAGAGCACGGGGCACAGGGCGGCATCCAGCGGGGTTTGAAGACCTTTCCTGGCGCTGCAGGTCAGGCATGTGGGACCGCTCGTGTCCACACACTCCTGCACTTGGAAATGCAGCAGCCTGTGAGGGTCCAAGCGCATCCCCTAACGTGTTTTTGCTGCAGGGTGGTAATGTCAGCAATCCCGAGTAGCTCATGGGCTGTAACTTAGAAGACTCAGCCCGGTGCAGGAGGACGTGGCTGGTGGCACTCCAAGTCCATTCTTCCCTCAGGTGCTGATTCCCCTCTTCACCGGGCAGCCCTTGCCCACGGAGAAGCTGCAGGAGGTTATGGAGGGGCTGTCGGCTTCGCTGAAGCAGTTGGAGGAGAGGTTTCTCCAGGACAAGGCTTTCATCATCGGCAGCGAGATCTCTCTTGCGGATCTCGTGGCCATTGTGGAGCTGATGCAAGTGAGTGCAGCAGCGCGGGGAGCAGATCCCAGCACGGGAGGTGTCCTGCTGCCGGGTGGGAATGGGCTGCAAGGGCATCTCAGCAGGACTGCCCTGGGACCAGGTGGATAATACGAGTAGGTTCTGAAAACTGGTTTAAAAAGGAAGGAAAAAAAATAGCTTCATCAGTTCCCTAATATTTCTCCTTCCCTTCATCCCTTATCATTGCTATTTTTGGCCTCTGGCGAAAGAGGCAATATAAGAATATTTTTATCATACAAGAATATTCTTCTTCAGATGGTACTGGCCCATGCCATGCCTGGAAGGTGCAAGTGAATCTCAGCTAGATGCAACCAAATTAAGGCTGTCACAAAACAGGGGTGCTCTCTTAGGCCATAGGGCTTGGATCTTGCAATTCAGAGTCATTTCCTGCTCATAACCGTACTCTAGAGACTGGAAAATTGCAGTTCAGCTTCTGTGCAGCAGCATGTTTTGGAGAGAGGTACAGGCACAAGGGGAGTAAATCACTCCAACTAAGACATCAGTTCAGGCAACCCTTAGCTTTGGCCTGGGCTGTTCTTGGGGTTGGCTTGGTTGCCGTTGGGTGCCGGGTGTCTCACGGCCGCTCTGCCCGTCCCTGCAGCCCGTCGGAGTCGGCTGCGACGTCTTCGAGGACCGGCCCAGGCTGCTGCAGTGGCGTCAGCGCGTCGAGGAGGCCGTGGGGAAAGAGCTCTTCTTCCAAGCCCACGAGATGATCCTGAATATCAAAGAACTGAGCAACATTCAAATCGACCCGCGTCTCAAAGAGCACCTGGCGCCTGTGTTGATGAAGATGTTGAAATGAATTAACCCGTGTGACCATTTTCCCTGCCCTTCTTTTTACCTTCTTCCCTGATCTCCACTTTTCTGTGTAACTAGAAAGAGCTCGGTAGTTCTTACACAGAAATTGAAGGAGCTCCCAACCTTTTCCTGCATCTTTGGGGGTAGAAGATGGGAAACTTTTGCGACCTGAAACATTAAATTTGTATAAAAAGCTGAGGCCCTATGGGTCTTTTAGTATGTGCCTCTGGGTTTTATTTTAGTGTCAATATTCTCAGAGTTGGTGGAGACAGGAATGGTGGAGACATTTCCTAACAAAATCCAAGCCAGCCCGTGAACGGGGAGCATCAGAGACCTGTAGAGGATGAGGATCATCCTGTGCTGGGCAATGTTTGCTGCTCACACTCTTCACAGGCAGCTAGCACTGCAACTCAGGCCTCATCCTCACCTCCCCAGCAACTCTCTGGGCACAGATAACCCCAGAGCAAAATTATGGGCAGTCACAGGAGTGGGAAGAAAATTCAAAAAAAAGACATTAATTTTCTTTTTCTTTGGAAACTTTCTTGCTGCCGAGGCATCTTGCTCGGCTGTCCATGTACATTCCACACTTAGTTTGCCTGTAGGCTCCCATGAAAAGTTCCTTCGTATCCATCCACACTGTGAATCTTTTCTCTTTAACTAAGTTTAACCGTGCCTCTGTTGAAAACCCAGCCTTTGTGGGCACTTGTTGACCAGGAGATACCTGACAGGGGCAATTTGTGGAGAACAAGTACCAAACCAAATGCAAAAAGCTGAGTGACCGCAGCCCTCAAGCAATTACCTACTTGAAACACTCTTGTTGATATGATATAGGGAATATAAGGAAAGAATTGTAAAGAATACAGTCACAGGGATTTAATCATAGAATCATAGAATGCTTAAGGTTGGAAGGGACCTCCAGAGATCTTCTAGTCCAACCCCCCTGCACACGCAGGGTCACCGAGAGCATGTGGCACAGTGGCATGTGGCTGCATCCAAGTGGATTTTAAAGATCTCCAGAGAAGGAAATGTCTTGAAAGATATCTTGAAAGAGAGTGTGAGAGCTATCAAAATACATATATATATATATATGTACGCTTTTTTTTCCTGTGGTAATAATATAATAGCAATCCACATTTCTCCTAGAAAATGCAAAGGAGGAAGAAAGTTAGACACCCTCCCCTGAGACTGTTTTGGATGCAACTTCCCCAAGCCAGTCACCCTGCACAGCTGAAGCAATACGAGGTTTTGTGGCACTGAGTAATTGTGTGTTGCAGTCAAAGGGCACAGAGTTGTCTTGGAGCTTTCTGGCTTCTTTTTTCTCCCGTGGTTATGCTTATTTTTGTATTAGTTGTATCTCAGATACACAACCCGCTTGTACTGCAGCAAATATAGGGAAGACTGAAGGATTCCAGGCACCTTTAGTTTCTTCAGTTGAAAATTGCAAATGATAAAGGATACAAAAACGGGTGGAATATGGGGGTTTTTTGCATGCTTCCACTCATAATTAATTGTTGGTTTTGAATCTTTGCCCCAAAATTGTTCCTCTGAGAAATGAAGATAAAATGAGTGATAATTCAGGAATTCCTGCTCCCAGTAATTAAATAACATCTTTCCAATACTAACACATCTTGGCAAATCAAGGTTCTGTTGTTAATTTCTAGACAAGCTGATCGTGTTTTTCCCTGAGGTTTAGGTTCATAAAAATCTTAATTTAGTTCAAAAGATTTTGAATTCCCTGTCTAGAAAGAGAATTCCAATATGGATTTCATTAGCAGAAAAAAAATAATTTGGGGATTATGTTCTCTAAGGACCGAAGCCTTTTTTTTTGTCATGAACTCAAATAATAGCAACAGGCATCTGTTGTTTAGTCCTGCCCTTCCTGCTCTTCCTTTTCAACATCAGTTGGAAATCATATTATTGCAAGTGTTATTCACAAAAACACTGCGCACAATTATGAGTTAAATTTTACATGGAAAAATGGTTGATTTTGTGAGAATTGTAGGAGTGAGTTACACAGTGGCTAATGACATGTACAGATGCCTGCAAAGGAGAAAAAGCTGCCATGATTTTCCAAAAGCTGAGAGAGACGGAGACTAATTTAACTGCTGCAGCTCCGCTGTCTTCTGCCTTGGTGGTTTGTGCATCTCCTACACGGATTTTGTATCCTCGCACACAGAGGGCCAGAGGGGCTGCATGAAGGCCCACAGGGCCTTTGCATCCCCAAGATGCAATAAAAAAGCCTGAAACAATAAAACAAAGGTCCTTGGTTTAACAGAAGCCCTCTGAGTTGTAGCTGGAGGACACAGACAACCCACCGTTCACGTGGTGGATCGTCGAGGGCCAAATGCAAAGCATCTCACTGCGAATGTTTGTGACCCAGCCCCGTGTTCTGTGGTGACTGCTGCCATCTCATACTTCAATCCCTTTTGCTTCTTTTCCCTTTAGAGCCTTCTGATACACCTGATACTTGTCACTTGGCATTTTTTTGGCCTTGGTGTTTAATTGGAATGGGATTTCAAATATTTGAAAGAATGAGAAGCAGAAAAACAAATCCTAAATGGTATCTGACCTAGAGGGGAGAGCAAGGGGGAGGACAGAGCAATCTCGGCAAACGAGCTGCACCGCAGCCCGTCTCTAAATTCACACTGATTTCTGCAAAGGGAAATGAGCTGCCACGTCCGAAGTGCATTGACAGAGAAGGGAAACGGCTTTTGGAGCGGAGCGGGGTTGCAAGAGGCTGCCTGTGCCGCTGCTCTGGGTGCTCGTGGCGTGTCCTAGGAGCCTCCGATGGCTGGGGCTCCTCGCCCCGGGACGCTGGCACTGCCGCTGGCCATGGGGCCGCGTCCCCTTGCTGACACCCTCTGCTCCCCGCTGGCCTGTATCTGCCAAACCCAAGGAGGGCTCGTCCCGAGCCACCAGCCCCATCCTCCACCCGGCTGGGGCTTCTTGCTTTGGGAACTCTCTCCTGGAAATCTGCTGGCAGCCTTGGTGCCGGCTGCTCCCTGGAGCCGCTCCCCGCGCCAGCACTGTCCTCGCAAGCAGCGGCGGCAGCTCTCGGGCCGACAGTTCCCAGCAAAACAAGAGCAACCCCGCCAGCTTTCCCTGGCGCCGCACGTGCGGAGGGGTCCCCGGCGTTGCTGCCGTGGTGTGGGCGTGCAGGCTGGACGCTGGGAAGCGCCACGCTGGCCTCGCAAAACCTGCAGAAGGCTTGGGGCAGAGCCAGGCGCAGAGGGAGATGATCCAAAAGTCACGTTCCGCAGGGACGCTTCCCGCAGCAGCGCTGCATCTGGGGCAAGACGGCTTTTCCTCCAGCTTGCTCCTAACCTTGTAGGGCCAGGGCAAGAACGGCCTCGCCGTGCGGCAGGCAAGAGACACCACGACCTGCAGCTCAGCCATGACAGCACAAAACCCAGGCTCACGAGTTTGCCCGGCGGCATCTGAGTGTCCTAAACTAACCGGGGCAGGCTGCCCCGCTCGCTTGTTAGCGTCTTTGGGGCCAGTCCCGGGGCCTGCGCGGCGCCATCTCGGGCAGGGAGGGCGCGAGGTCTCCACGGCCGTGGGGGCTCCGTGGCCGTGGGGGCTCCGTGGCCGCGGGCTCTCAGTGGCCACGCGGTCTCCGCGGAGGAGGCGCCTTTAGGCGGCGGGGCTGGGCCGGGCCGGGCCGG